GCAAGGCTTGCTCCGGTTAGAGCGAAGGGCGTGGCCTAGGTCATAAAATCGTTTACTGCCTGCGGCAAACGCCACGGCTGATAGTATCAATTTAAAGGTCGAAGCAAAAGGTGTTTTTGGCTTCCCTTCAGGAAGACCTCTTTTCCTCAATGAATGCCCTTCCAGTGAAAGAAAAGTCGCCATTTAAAGATTATCTCCTCACGTTTTGGTGCGATTGCGAATCCGCGAATGTCCTTGTAAGGGCTCTGCCCAGGTACTGGACTACTTCCCGCCCATTTAAACTATAGGCAGAGAAGCAACTGGCCGACCATCTGGACATGCGCTGACATGGGCTTGCTCCTGTCATTTGTTGTTATTGTTGTTAATCTGTTAATGTCTGTATATAATGTAAATATTAATAAATGTTTTATCTATCTATCTATCTCGTCCGATCACCGAAGTTAAGCAACGTCGGGCGCGGTTAGTACTTGGATGGGTGATCGCTTGGGAACGCCGCGTGCCGTTGTCTTTTTGTTTCTTTGCCAATGCAAGCAAATGTTGCAAATAAAAAAGATATTTTACATTCAAAAGAAAATTAAGTTACATGTTACCTATTTTTGATCTATTTATAAATTATCAAACTAAAGATAATATAAAAATTGTGAAATAAAATTATTATTGTCATCATGCGTTAAACAAGTTCGATAGTTCGAAGTTTTATATGGTTTCTATAACTATATGAAGTTGTGACGTGACGCACACCATTTTTTTTTAACTCGAAACGCTTAAATATTTGGGAAACGAGTGATCCTACGAAAAAATGTTTCAAATAAGAAGCTAATATTTGGGAAGGGGAAATCAATTCGATCTTGTAGGCTAGGCAGGGGCCAACTTGGGAATTTCAAATAATAATTACAACATTTAACTGAAAATTCTAATAGTACGTCAAAAAGTGAGAATAATTGATCTAAAACAGTTTCTTTGATTTTGACAGGTAGGGCTGCGATCCATCAATTACCAACCAATAAATGTTTTGTTGATTTGGAGGTACATATTTGATTTTATTCATCAAACAATTTTCGGACCGAATATTCCTGATATTAATAAATGCCATTCGTCACACTAAAATTTTCAGCGTTTCAGTAAAATAATAAATAGTTTAGCAGATCTAAAGCAAACAAATTGATACTTGATGAATCGCAGGGCCACCTGCCAAAATCGAAGAAACTGTTTTAGATAAATTATTCTCACTTTTTGACGTACTATTAGAATCTCCAGTAAAATGTTGTGGTTTTGTGACACAAATAAACGTCCCCCTCCCAGATATTAACTTCTTACTTGAAGCATTTTTCCTTCGGATCACTCATTTTCGAAATATTTAAGTGTTTTAAGATTAAAACAAAACACCCTGTATGTAAACCATAATAAACTGAAATTTAATTTTTGCAGGCGTAAATAACTAGTGCTCTATATGATATGTATGTAATATATTACATTAATTGTTTTGTAATTTGCTGTCTTTAAGCTAAGTTACAACATTTTTTTATATTGGTTCCACTCTGATAGTTTGTTACGTATTTAGCTAAAAGTTCAATATTCAATAGGAATTGCATATGTTGGAAATCTGCTTGATGGTCACCGGTGATGACCGGTGGTTCTGTGGGAAGTTTTTAATCCATGTTAGTAGAAGAAAAATTTTATACACAGGGTGAAAATTGGCGTCCATTCGAAGGGGTTATAGAGGCTCACTSGGAACGTACGAGAAAAATATTSTAAAATTTTTGTCGAAAATTTGCATAAGTAATTAACAGTGGAAATCGAATTGCAAATGTGTTAATAAGTATCATTTTGAAATGGTCCCATGTTGGGTTGGCAGCCCAAGATAATTCTTAAGCGTTCATAAAGAAAAATTAGTATCTTTACTTCAAATTGCTAGATTTTTCGAGTGGTAATGATGTTTTTTCATTATCACGTTACCGGATTTCCGTTTTTGGATCTCAACCATGGAGATCTCGGTAACCATATAAGATACGARATTGGYTAAATTGGGTCAAAGTTGCGCAAACAAAAAGTGTACCAAAATGTTCTTCAAAAATTWAAAAAAAATGCTGCTACTTCCGGAGATATCCGAAAAAAACAAAATCCGAATTTTTTTAAATTTTTTCCTTAGCTTACTTGGCGCGGAAATTTAAAATGATTAATTCTTTATTATTCCAACTTTTTATTTTCTGCAACGTGGCGATGTTGTATGACTTATCGATTCTCGACAACCATAATCAACCTTGTTTTTTCTTATGAGCGCCATCTAAAATTTTAACATGTTTGAATTCAGCGTTTTTCTTGATCCCCTGGATACGTAGTTTTGACACTGTTTTCGTTAGCGAAAGCATCACATTTACTCATTACAATGACAATTTATCTTTTCTCCCATTATTCAATTGCATGTCCTTTATTATGTGGGGAAAGTTATAACTTTAGCCACACGCCCTTCTGCCAGCTTGACAGTCTCTGACAGCTGACTGTTTTGACAACGCTTTCAAAGTTTTTTTTTATTGAAACCTTATACTTTTCCCGGCTTGTTTCCGCCGAGGATCAAGAAAAATAGTATAGGGTGCGCGTGTCGAAAGTCCGCTACTGCTGAAACTTGACGCCCGAGGCGAGGCCGAGTCCAGAACCGAATTATACTATTTTCTAATTACTATCCAGTATTACACGTTAAACTTCCGTGTGATTCCTTAATAAATAAAAATTAATTTAATTTTTTTTTATTAATAGCTCTTAACAATAAGTTATTTAATTACGCCACAATAATGTTGATTGTGATTTATTTATATCAATGATCTGAGTTTTTAGATTCTTAGTTTCATTAGTTTTTTAATTTCTAAACTTCATCATCACCATCATCATCATCATCATTAGCCTAAACTGCCCACTGCTGGACAAAAGCCTCTCACATATTTTGCAATTCTTTTCGGACCTGTGCCATCCATCAGCTTCCAATTTTCAGCGACTCTCCTAATGCTGTCACTGCATCGGGCTGGTCGCCGTGCCCTCTGTTTTTCTGGATCTTTCTGGATTCTTGATCTCCGTTGTAATATTTTTGGTCCATCGACCATCGTTTACTCTGGCCACATGACCGCCCAGCTCCGACTCCCCAGTCTCGACAGCATCCTTTATAGTGTGTTACTCTTGTGATGTGTCTGATGGTTCTATTTGGGATTATAACTGGGAGGATTGCGATACTCCGAGTGAGCGTAGACGACGTTTGCGCATGTTTGTGGAACGTACCATCCACTTTATATGGGACCTACCCAGTATATTTCCGGTAAGGAACGGCTCCAGTTGGGAGGTTTTCCTCGGAAGAATGAATACTGGTGGTGGTTAGCCATTGTTTCACGTCTTGATCGGGGATGGTATCCGGTATCTTAGGCATGGCATGCGGATGCGTTTGCCACCACGCCACTGTGATGGTTGTTATTAATGTCTCTCAACGGTATGTTAAAACCGGGAGAACGCAGTGGTTAAATACCTTTTTAAACACCTTGGAAGACTGAATCGGGAAACTGTTCTTAACTTTCCATAAGCTGCCCAGGTTAAACTTTTCTGCTTCTTTTCTCTTCTTAAAAAATTCTGCGTTTTATTTCGTGTCTTTGATTGTCTCTTCCAATACTTATCTCGTGTCTTCACAGCATCGCATCCTACCTGAACCTATAAATTTTCCTGAACACACCATCCTACACCCCCTTCTAACACGTCTTTAGCCAGCGGGGAAGATTAGGGCTAAAAAACGTCTCATGAACTTACATTAAAGTAAATGTTGATTTTCAGATTCCAATAGCCCGTAAATTGAGTCAAAGCTATAACATGCAAGAGAAACTCGTCAACGAAAATGCCAGTTTAGAAGACACGAGGTAACTATAAACGAAAAGAATAAAGTGGCATTACGACTTATTATACGTATATTCCAAGCTTTCTAGACTAACAGGTCGCCATTTGGAAAATGTTAATATCTTTGTTATGAATAGGTTTATTATGTCGCTTCGCTAGTGCAAAGCGGGCAATTGAAGAGCCGATAGGTATATGTACCTACTTAGTGTATACGAGAATATTTATACCGTTTGTTTCACAAAGGTTGACTACCAGTCACGTTTCGAAAAGTACTGGGTTTTGAAATTTAAGGATAACATTTTCATTAATGGAGTATCAGCGTATAAGAAATTATCTTTAAATGAGGAAAGTGAAAGTGGTCGAAGTTGAACAACTGACTGCTGCTGTTATGTGACAGTGAAGTACCGTACTTCATACTTATAAGTAAAAACCAGATGAAAAAGCACAAGAAAATGAAAAAAAAGTGCTTAACAAAGCACAAAAATATTTTTTAAAAGCACGAAATAAAAAAAAGCATTTGAAAAAAAAAACAGAAAACAAGTTGTAATGATAATGTATTGTTATTTTTATTTATTATTTTACATTTAACACGTTCTATTTATTTTCAATATACTTATTTACTATTAACAATGCTTAAAAGAAAATGTAACTAAATGTTTCTCTAAATTTTCCGTAGTAAAATTATG